AACTAATGCAATGTAAAACCTGGACTTACCCTAGCCTGGATTGGGGAGCCAGCCAACCACCTAATTGATTTAAAACCATGATATCCATTCTTTTATAAAATTTAGATGGGTGGATTAGTTGTTGGAAGTTAATGCCAACATCTAGAGAGTTTCTTAATTAGCCTTATAATTATATTGGGTAAATGCTTCTAGAGTTAATGCAATTAAAATTTTATTTTAATTACTTTCTAACGTAATGCATGCTAGTTTAGAAGATCCAAATAATGAATGTTTGAGATTTTAAAAATATGCTTATTATAAAATAATTTTTTAGAAGGAAACTAAACTTCCCATGGTCTGGTACTTCATCCTCATATGCCAGATTATCCAGACTCTACTCACAGATGGGGAAGTGTCTCTTTAGAAGAAGAGAGAAGAATGCATTGATATGCATACGACCCTGGACGATTCTGGCAGTTCCTTAGATTTGTTAAGTTTCTATGTTACTTAAATCTTAAATATTAATTTTTAGTTATGAGTAGAAGAGATATTTAGTCCTTAGAGAGCCTAACGATATGCAGGCTAAAATAAGAACGGTATTCAAATCGCCAATAAACTAAGAAAATCAAGCAACCTTAAAGGCACACATCATAAATAAAACACATCAATATAATCAAACTAATTAAATAAATATCCATATGCCAACTATCCTTAATTACAACCCAAGGTCTACAAAAAATGAAATAGTCGGGCACCACTGCCAACAACTTGAATTTCTAAGCCTATGAAATGACACAAATGACTTTGAGTGCGATATTAGGTCTTCAGCTCTTCAGTCCTCTTGGATTTTCTCTCCTTCTACTCCTTGGATCTCTCCTCCTTAGACTCCTTAGATTCGTCATAGCTTAAATATCCAAATGAAGAGACAATTCCCCCCTTTAAGGGTATTGCCTTTTCTCTTTTGATATTTAAAAGCCATCCATACTCAATCTTCTAAATGGAAGAAAACTTTCCCCTTTGAGGATTCCTTCTTCTTTTAAAATTCGAGTTAGATAAGAATATCCTAACTCAAAGTTATATTTTCACAACTTAAACATTTATTACAAATAGTTACATTAATGAAATGCAGTAAATTCTAGATTCTCATACAAGGTTATCCTAATAAAAATCCAAAGCAGTTATAATCATCCCAAGCAATTTATATAGAAATGAAAAGTGCTCATCACAGCCACACTTGAACATGCTCTTAATTATTTATGAGGGCTAAGCAGTCCACCTATAGAAGTTGTAATTATGATTTTTAGTCCTCATTTATTTAGGAGGGCTGAGCAATTTCTGAAGCACGTGCATAAGATATTATTAGTATTTGAAATCATCATAATTGCCCCCCTTTTTATTTAGCACTGCATGAGCATGGCCACGTGCAAGAAAAACAAAATATCATCCCTAACCTAGGGGTAGATCTAACACACAATCACATTAATTCTCATAGTGTAGTAAAAGTAATCAAACACAACAATTTCATTCACAATATGCAATAAAATCTCAAAAAACCTGGCACGCAATAGAAAAGTAAATAACGGTCTAGCCTAAGTCTAGAAGTAGTGACCTAGTAAATAATTCTATAAGTGCATAAGGCTTATGTGGTTTTGGATAGGTACTATGTATAATGGTTAGTTCACGTTGCCTGAGGTTAGAGTTTGTTAAAGGCCAAAAAAGGAAATTTTTAATTAAAGTTTAAATATTAATTAATTAGATTCTATTTCAGTTAATTTAGTTTGTTAATTCATTTTAATGCTTAGTGAAGTGATATTTGAAGTTTAAATTGTATTAACCAATTTTGGAAAGTCCCAGGTCCTCCTAGGTGCTAGGTTGAGAGGGTCCAAAAGATCACTAAGAGAAATAGGCTAGATTTGGGGTTCCTAACATTTTAGGTAAATACTAGACCTTAAGGTGAGTAGTTAGGCTTTGAGTTTGCTGGATTTGGAGTTTCCTATACAAAGTTATGAATTTTTAAAATTTTGGGCAATTAGGGGAATAATTAAAACTACTTAATTAGGGGTTATTTTAGGGTTTTGATCCAAATCTGCTCCAAATGATTGGAATCACCCCAAAGGTCAAGAATAACCTAAAAAGGTTCTAACTTTTTTTTAAAATTTGCTAGACAAGACCTTAATTATTGTTCTTAGGGTGTCGCTACATTGGATAGGTTTAAACTTGAGTTTTGGACTAACCCTCAAAGTAACAATGTAGAGGAGTATACAAAAGCAATAAACATATCATGTCTTTAGATCTATGAGACCCTAAACTAAGTGCTTGTGCATCTTATATATGCAAACTACGATAAAGGAAAGACTAAGCATGCTTATCGATGAGATTAGTGAATGATTGGGACCTAATCACCTACTAATCCATTTCCCCTATGAATGTTATTCACGTGTAGAATATATGTTTAAAATTTTAAGTAGCGGATCTCCCAAAATTAGGATTTAACATATATATGTAGCTTTAAAAATACTTAAAATACCCATAAATATATAGATTTTGGAAAATAATCTAATTAAAAATAGATCAATTCATAATAAATATATAGGCATAAGGGAGATCCACTGATCATCCGAGAGAAGCTTCAAAATGATTTAAAAATAATTTTTAATTTCAAAATAACTATTATATTAATTTTTATAATAAAATACTTAAATAATAAAGCCCTAAACAGAATTCTGCCAGAACAGTAAAAATTGGCTTCTAAAAATAATTTTAAAGGAAAATATATATTTTTCTGGAAAATTCAAGGTATTACGTGTCAAAATCCAATTTAAGACGAAAAAGATATGATTTTTTGAAGTTTTAAAAGCAATAAAAACTAATTTTAAAATAGTTTTAAAATAATCAATACTTAGAAATAATTATTAAAAATAATAATAAGTTTCTAAAATTTAATGTTGTTTAATAAAATAATAATAATAATATTGATTTAAAATAATGTTAATGATAATAGTAATAAATACTTAAAATAATACATGGACTTCCGAATTTGAACAACAGAAGTAAAGTTAGAGGCACAAATCTGGTTATCAACGAAGGAGGATTTCGAGAAATGAAGGAGCCTGAGGTAATAGGCAAGGGAAAGAATGTAATCATGGCATCCAAGGCTAATTTGAAGATGTCAAAAAATTTTGTTATGTTCGGTAATGACCTTGAAGCATCCCCTTCTTTTCTAAAGCCCATTGAAAAAATCTCCACCAATTGCATTTCAAATACGGGTGAAGTTGACAAAGTTATTTCTGAGAGTAATGAAAGTATCACCAATTCTGAAGGAATACCTACTTCTATTCTACAAGATGTTGCGACTGAAGGTTCTGATAAAACTATCCCGTTAAAGGAAAACAGAGTATTGTTCAGTGATTTATTGAAGGTGAGAATGTTGTTTCAGCTGAAACAAGAGAAGGTAATGAAAATATTCTGTTTGTTGAACGAAATACTGATGCTGGACTATCGAATGCATGGAAGAAAAGAGATAATATATCAGTTGAAGATCTACAACTCGGTGAATACTTAGCTGAAGATGGGATGACTGTGAAATTGCATGAAAAGAATGAAGAAGAAAATACCAAGAGGCTGTCAAACTCTTTGGTAATCAAAATCTTTGGTGGTGAAGCTCCTATTTCAATAATCAGTAAAGAATTGAGAAGGCAATGGGATCAATATGGCAAATTTCATTTGACTATGCTTAGCAAGGGCTGGGTGCTTTGCTCTTTTCATGAGAAACAAAGTATGGATAAGGTACTTTCTAATGGGCCTTGGTTTTTTAATGGCAAAATTATTGGAATGGACAAATGGTCTCAAAACTTTGATACTAACTCTCTCAAAGGATTGTCATCTCCAATATGGATTAGACTTCCGAGCCTTCCACTGCAATGCTGGGATAATGTGAATATTTGCAGAATAGCATCAATGGTAGGGAAACCTATTATGCTGGACGGTAATATGTTCCAATGGGGACGTAGAGAATTCGGAAGGGTTTGTGTCTGAATCAACTTGGACAAGAAACTGCCAACAGGAGTATGGGTAGAAGGAGCAAGTGGAAAATTTTATCAAAATATAGAGTATGAAAGGATTCCAAATTTTTGCTTCAAATGTGCTTTCATTGGACATTCAAAAGAATTTTGTAAAGAAGACTTTGATGCTATTGGAAATTTCAACAGAGAGCAACAGAAATCTGTTTCAGATTCATCAAGAAATGAAAATTCAAATATAGATGGAGAAGAACATATCAGATCAAGCACCTATGGACCGTGGATGATTGTAAACCGAGGAAGGAAAATTTTTCAGAACCAGTCAAAAAAGGTTTTTCAAACTCCCAGCAAGAAGACAGTATGGAGGAGAGCTAAAGATCAAAACAAGAAAGAAGAGATTGGAAAACAATCAAATATTATTGGAAAGAACAATGTAAGTTCTATCATTACTAAGGAAATCAGTCCAGAAAAAGTTAATGATGAAGACAATGAATCTGGTATTAAGACAGCAGATGAGAATGAAAGGAATGTTTCCAACACTCTCTTTAATGAAAACAGATTTAATGCTCTAAATGTACTAATGGAAGAAGGAGAAATCAATCAGGATTTATATGAAGGATCATTTCATGAAGAGATAACAAATGATGGCATTGGCAATGAAAGGAAAAAACTCACAGCAGATGTTGATTCTAATCCCAATAACAAAGGAGATGACTCAAGTTGTACGAAGAAGAAGAATACAAAACAGCTTAAAGATCTTGGGCCTATTAGCAATATCACAAGGAGTAGAAGATTGGAGAAGGATATGAAAGGTAAAGTGGGAGTGAAACCCACTTCTCTCATTTTTCAATGAATTCATTGGCATTTTGGAATTGTAGAGGAGCAAAGAAAAAAAGTGCTTCTCTATATATGAAGGAAATAGTGAAATTACATAATGTGGTGTGTTTGGGATTGCTTGAAACAAAAATCTCTTATATTGATATAAGAGAAGTGAAGAATATAATGGGAGAAGAATGGGATTTTGAAATGGTTCCTTCTAATGGACTTTCTGGAGGTATTATTGTTCTTTGGAATTCTAAAACAGCTAATTTCTCTAAGGTGGGATCTACATCACAATGTCTAATTGGTGATCTTTTTATAAACAACATTTATAAAATGAGAGTGGCTTCGGTTTATGGGAGTAAAGATGTAATCAAAAGAAGGGAATTATGGGAGTTGTTGGAGTTCTACAATGTGGAGGATTTTCCTATGGTAATTGGAGGAGATTTCAATTGTCTCACCTCCAAAGAAGACAAAAGAGGAGGGAAAAAATTCTGCTTTTCTCAAGGAGCTAGAGAAATGTATTCTTTCATTTCCAACAATGACTTACATGAAGTCAACTTCATAGGTCCAAGATATACATGGTTCAACAACAAATCTAGAGGTTCTCGCATTTTGGAGAGACTTGATAGGTGCTTTATTAACTCTTCTACTTTGAGCTATTTTTCTAATTTAAATGTGAGGCATTTAGCTAGAATTGCATCCGATCATAGCCCTTTGGTTCTCAATTTATGCAATGCTAATTACACCCATAAGAGAAGAATTATCTTTGAGGACATATGGGTTTCCTATCATGCTTCCTTTGGTGTGGTTAAGAATGAATGGAACAAGAATTACAATGGGGATCACTCTCAAATTCTTAATGCTAAATGTAAAAGAACTCTTAAGTCTTTGTTCTTTTGGAGCAAGGCGAAATTGAGGAATCTTGAAGACCTCAAAAGGAGCTTAATGGAGGACATTCTTAAACTACAAATTTTGGAATCCGAAAATGGCTGGCTTTATGAAGATGAATGTTGGGAGATGAAATCTAAAGCTCTGGAATTAAATTCTACCATGGAACGTTTATGTAGTTGGTGGAAACAAAGAGCCAAAGTAAGATGGATGAATGAGGGAGATTGCAACACTAAATTCTATCATTCTTTTGCTAGTGCTAGAAGGAACAATAACAGGATCTTGAAAATTAAAAATGAGAATGGGATAGTCATTGAAGAACAAAGCCAAATAGAAGATATTTTCAAACAGTTTTTCAAATTCAAGTGGAAACAAAGATGTTGTAACTTGAGCAATTGGCCAAATCCTGAAAAAATTTTGAATGAAGAAGATAAATTCAACTTGTCCAAGGATTTTACAATGGAGGAAATTGAAAATGTTATAAAAAACTTGGGTAATAACATTGCTCCGGGTAGTGATGGAGTCACTTACTCTTTTATCAAAGGTTACTGGAATATTGTAAAGGATGACTTTCTTAAAGCTCTAAATCAGTTTTTCATCTATTGCAAAATGGATTATAACTGAAAAGATACTTTGGTGGTTCTTATTCCAAAGATTTCCAATCCTTTGATGCCTTCTAACTATAGACCTATAAGTCTATGCAATTCTGTATATAAAATTGATGCAAAAGTAATTCTAAACAGGTTGATTCCGGTAATTCCTTGGTTAATCATGGAGGAGCAAGCGGCTTTTATCAGAGGGAGGTCCATTTCAGATCACATTCTTATTGCCCAAGAAATGTTTCAGAAATTTCAGCACTCTAAGAAAAATAATGGGATGATGGCATTCAAAGTTGATATGGAGCAAGCTTATGACTCTATGAGTTGGGAAACATTAAAATAGGTTTTGAACTACTTTGATTTCCCATATATGATTTCAAAACTTATTTCGGAATGTGTTTTAAATCCCAGATTTTCAATTCTTATTAATGGAATACCAACTGGATATATCAAGGCTGAAAGTGGATTTCGACAGGGATGCCCCTTGTCTCCCTTTCTTTTTATCTTATGCTCCCAACTCCTTACAAATGCTATCAATAATTCATCCATTGGTATTGGAATTTGTCCCAACAGTCCTAGAATATCTCACTTACTTTTTGCTGATGATGTTATGGTATTCTCTATAGCTACAAGGAAAGCTGTAATTGAAGTTAAAGACATTTTAACAAATTTCAGCAGGTGGACTGGATAGAAAATAAATTCTGAAAAATCATCCATTATTTTCGGGAGCAATGTTAATGAAAGAAAGAAGAAACAAATAACCAAAATTATTGGTTTTAAACAAGTTAAGGAACTTGTTTATCTTGGCATCAAAATGACATTGAGAAGATTGATGGCAAGTGATTTTTATTTCATCATTAAAAAATCGCTCAAATTTCTCAATGTATGGGGAACAAAGTCTTTATCTCTGGCAGGCAAGATAGTTCTCATAAGAACTGTTATTTTAACAATCCCCAACTTCTTCAGTTCTCATTCTTTAGTGCCGGTGAGAATACTAAAGGAGATTGATAAAATTTGTAGAGAATTCTTATGGAAGAAAGCTTCAGGGAAAACAGGATTACACTATCTTAGTTGGGAAAATCTTTGTAAATCAAAGAAGAATGGTGGCTGCGGGTTTCAATCTTCAAACACAAAAGTAGCTCCTCTTAGAGCTAGATTATCATGGAGATTCCTTAACAATAAGGAGTCTTTACTTCATAAAATTTTGGCTCCTAAATATGGTACTTCTTTTGGAAGTAATGGAATGAAGAAGTCTTCTTCATCTTGGAAAATTCTTAATAATGGAGGTGAAGCATTGGATCCACTTATTAGATGGAATATTGCTAATGGTAATTCAATCAAAGTATTCAAGGATAAATGGATACTTGATAGAAGAATCAATGAATGGCCTACTCTTGTAATCCCTCAAGAAGATGATGATCTGTTTCTAAACATGTTTATTGAAAATGGTGGCTGGAATGAGGAGAAACTGAAACTGGTTTTTGGAAATGACCTTATTCATCTCATAATGAATATCAAAATTGATACAGCTCTTGAAAATGATGTCCAAGAACTTTTATACCAAAGTCCGGGAAAGTCTATTCCTGGAATGATTTCAGAATATTAGCAAAAAGATGATGAATGGGCTCCTTTCTTTTGGATTAAGAAAGCTAATATAAATCCATGGGTTCATACATTTATTTGGAGATCTTTCAATAATGCAATACTAACTTTTCATTTCCTGAAGCATAGAAAATTAAAAGACAATGACCTTTGTCCAAGATGCAATGCTGGCAAAGAAGATTTAGAGCATATTATCGGTGGGTGTTTGAAAATCAAAGAGGTTATCACAATTATAAAAAGCTGGGGATTTGTTTTGCCAGATTTCAATAACATTCAAGATTGTTGTAAATGGATTCATAATATCCACAAGAGTAAAGGTATGATATTAAATCTCTTCTTTAATGTCATGTATTATTCATGGAAAGCTAGAAACAAGTTGATACACGAAGGCTATAATGAAAGTGCAATCTCTGTTGATGTACAAGCTATCAGTCAGATTTCTTATTCTAAGATTATTTTTAATCAATTCTTTTTTCTGTTGTTCTTTTTTAATGCATTTATGCTTCTTCAAAAAAAAAAAAACTTAATGATGATTGACATAATAATAATTAAAAATAATTATAATAAAAAATAATGATAATAATAATAATAATAATAATAATAGCCAATTTATTATTTCAATGATAATTTAAAATTTATATAATATTTTCAATTTAAAATAATTTTAAATTAAAGAGGCCGAGAATACGAGCGATTTGATATATTGCATCAATTTTTTGGATTAAAATATAATTTGTAATTATTTTTTAAATATCTCTTATTTAAAAAAGCATTTAAAATAAATTTAAAATTGTTTTTAAGAAAAAAAATGGTGGCGGGACCCTCGAGACGACACCTGGCACGATGGCATTGGCTCCATGGTTATGGGGTAATTATTGTCTGGCAACGCAATCATTGTGCCGCCGGCAATCATTGCACAATGACCGTGGTAATGATTGTCGCGGTCGGGATCCCACTTAGCCACGTAGGCGAGGCGACAGGACCGTTGGATCGAGCGTGATTTCGGATCAACGGTCATGATCGAATCGGGTGGAGCAGCAGACCGTGGGGCCGAGTCACGCGGTCAATCTAAACCGCAAAGCGGCATGATCTTAGCTGCTGATCGCGAGATCAACAGCTAAGATCGATCTCCAACGGGCGGAGACCTAATCTGAGAGCCGAAATAATAAAATGCCTCGTTCTATTAATTTACTCGATCAAATTCCACAAAATTTTAAACCTAGATTGTGCTCATGAATAGAATTAATGGGGGATCACAAGAATGGCTTAATATTCGTCCTATCAAAAGTTAAATAGCTTCATGTGTTCTAGCTATGGTTTTAACTTTTACATAATCTACATGGTGGATTCAGAAGATCTTCGTAGGTTTCATCGTCGGGGCTGACTTGGGGAAGGTGGAGGGAAGCAAGGATCGCTATCAAATGAAATCTCAGAGGTTCTTGAGGTCTACAGAGAGTGCAATCAAGAAAAGATCTTTAATTCACCCTAATTTTTGCTATTTAAAGTCCCTAGCCCTACGATCAAGGGCTTAGATTGAAACTTCAGTGAATTTTGAGGGAAATTGGCCGCGGGTTTGAAATTATAATCATTAAGGGGGCTTTTATTGCATTAAAAGGAGTTTTAAATGATTTAAATAGGTCAATTTGACCTATTAAGACTTGGGTTGACCAAGTCAATGGTTGACCTGGTCAACCCAGTCAAATATATCAAAGGGAGTGGAGATTTGAGTCCAAGGAATATTAGATTTAATTTAAAGTTGATTTCGACTCAAAAGGGTCAAATGGGTCAACCCTGGTTGACTTGGTTAACTTGGTTGACCCATGACCTGGGTCTGGGCTTAGCAGACTCTGTTTGACCCAAGAAACTAAGTGGGAGAGGTCTTTGGGCCTAGCCTGGTTAATTTGACCAGGTCAACTCCTTGGACCTAGGGTTTGACAAAATCAAGGTCAACCTAATTCATCCCCCTCTTGGTTAACCTCGGGCTAGTTCAAAGGGCATAACATCCCTAATGAACTTTCAGTTATAACTAGACATGGACTTAGAAAGGAAGTAAACCACTCAACCTTCCAATAGTGTCCACCAACATTAATGAAGCTCTTTTTGATGAATTCGGGTTCTAGCCATGCAAGAGGAACTAAAACAATTTGTTAGGAATGATGTCTAGGAGCTAGTAAAAAGTCCTAAGAATTAGAGTATACTAAGAACAAAATGGGTCTTTAAGAATAAAATAAATGATTATTATGTGGTGATTAGGAAAAAGGCAAGATTAGTGGCTAAGGGGTATAACCAAATAGAGAAAATTGATTTTGTGGAGACTTTTAACCTTGTAACTAGATTGGAAGCCATTAGAGTGCTACTAACATTTGCTTGTTATAAGGAATTTAAGCTTTTCCAAATGGATGTTAAAAGTGTCTTTTTAAATGGGGTAATAAAAGAAGATGTGTTTGTAGTGCAATCACTGGGCTTTGAGAATTCTTAATTTCCATATCATGTTTTTAAATTAAAAAGGATTTGTATGGATTAAAACAGACACTCAGAGCATGGTGTGAGAGGCTTAACACATTCATACTAGAAAGGGGGTTTATTAAGGGGAGCGTAGACACCACCCTTTTTTAAAGAGAGTATGAGATTAATTACTCATTGTCCAGATCTATGTTGATGATATACTTTTTGAATCTTCTGATAAAAAAGTGTGTGGTGATTTTTTTTAAAATAATGAATAAGGAATTTGAGATGAATATGATGAATGAATTATTCTACTTTTTGGAATTTAGTATAAGGAAAATAAATTATAGGATCTTTCTTAATCAATCAAAATATATTAAGGACACCTTGAAGAAATATGAAACGGATAAATCCAAGCTAATGAACACTCCCATGAGTTCCAGTGTCCAGTTAGATAAGGATTTCAATGAAAAATCTGTTGATCAAAAGAAGTACAGAGGAATAATTGGATTACTGCTTTACTTAGTTGCTAGCCGACTTGATGTAAAATTTAATATTTATCTTTGTGCTAGATTTCAATGTGATCCTAAAGAATCCCACCTGAATGCAGTTAAGATAATCATTAGATATCTTTTAGGAACTAAAAACTTCGGAATCTAGTATCCTAGGTATATCACCTCTTTTGAAAATGTTAGATATTTTGATTTTAATTTTATTGGATGTAGGGTGGATAGAAAGATCACCTCTAGATCATATCAATTCATAGGACAATCCTTAGTCTCCTTGCCCAATAGAAAATAAAATACCATTGCACTTTTCACTGTTGAAGCTGAGTACATTGCCTTAGGAAGTTGTGTGGCCCAAATCCTTTGGTTGAAGCAGCAAATTTTGGATTTAGGATTACCTGTAGGCACAATTTCAATTCTATGTGGTAACACTAGTGTCATCTGCATATCTAAGATTTTAGAACCAAACACA